CCCCCAGCCTCTCCCCCCAGGCTCATGTCCAGCAGAAACAGAACAATAAACATATGATTCAGTGTCTCTGTGTGCAGGTTCTGTTAGCCCCTCCTCCCTCCAACCAACATGAATAATAGATGAGGAAGTTGATGAGATCAATCAGAGGCTATCAGTCTAAGGCATTGGATTGGACGGGGGTAGAGGGCTTGGGGGGGGGGTTACACTGGAGCACCGTAGCAATAAATAGTAAAAATACACATATACTGAAATGTAGTTCACAGTTCTACCACTAGTACTGTTGAACCAGACCTGGAGTCTCTCACACACACACACACACACACACACAGCTCATCAACACACTCCTCTGAAGGCAGTGACCCCACACACCTCTGCACCACGTGTTCTCATGTTGGTGACAATGCCACCGCAGCATGACAAATGCAAACAAAAGGTTCACCTATTCATCACTGGGGGGCGGGGGTTGGAGGGGGGTCTGGGGCTAATTATGCCCCTGCACTGAAGAGTCCGACTTTCCACTGTTGGTTTGTCCTCTAAAAGATTACAACGCTGTCAGTGCAAGTGTGCAGGAAAAATGGGCCTGGACACATAAAGAGCCACGCACACACAGACACACACAAACAGACACACACACAAACAGACACACACACACAGGCGCTGGAGACGTGATTAATCCTGTTCAGAGTGGGAAGATTTTGACCCTAAACAGAAAAGTCCTGTTGAGGACAGTGCGACAGACACTGATTTATGTCACTACCACTTCATCCACATTAATTACCCCGGTGCAGGTGCAGACTCAAAGTCCAATTCCTCCAGCTGTAGCCTGGAACTTTGCATTACACCCCCATACACACACAGCTCCACACACAAATGTATAAATAAATAAATAAATAAAGGCTGCCCCCATTGGCTCAGCACCTTCTGTTTATATTGTCTGGGTGGCAAAGAAAACAGTGAAGGATTACAGAGCCAGATATAGAAGCAACACACACACACACACACACACACACACACACACACACGCACGCACGCCAGCAGCCTCAAGGAGCACGTACACCTACAGCCGTACACACTGGTGTCAGAACCTACAGCCGTACACACTGGTGTCAGAACCTACAGCCGTACCCACTGGTGTCAGAACCTACAGCCGTACCCACTGGTGTCAGAACCTACAGCCGTACCCACTGGTGTCAGAACCTACAGCCGTACACACTGGTGTCAGAACCTACAGCCGTACACACTGGTGTCAGAACCTACAGCCGTACCCACTGGTGTCAGAACCTACAGCCGTACACACTGGTGTCAGAACCTACAGCCGTACCCACTGGTGTCAGAACCTACAGCCGTACACACTGGTGTCAGAACCTACAGCCGTACCCACTGGTGTCAGAACCTACAGCCGTACCCACTGGTGTCAGAACCTACAGCCGTACACACTGGTGTCAGAACCTACAGCCGTACACACTGGTGTCAGAACCTACAGCCGTACACACTGGTGTCAGAACCTACAGCCGTACCCACTGGTGTCAGAACCTACAGCCGTACCCACTGGTGTCAGAACCTACAGCCGTACACACTGGTGTCAGAACCTACAGCTAGGGATGCACCAAATTTCGACATGTGACGATATAACCATTTCTGGGGAGGGAGGGAAAAAGTCAAACACAGTGTTATTAATGTGTATTATTAATGTATTATTAATGTTTCCAATCACAGTGCCTTGATTTCATTGAGGTTTAGTTCACGGTCTCAGACAACAATGATGGTAATTATAATAATAATTGGCAGAATCATTTCTATCCGTGTTTCGGTTTCGGTTTTTTGGCCTTGGTTTTCTCATTTTCGGTTTCGGCCAAGAATTTTTATTTCGGTGCATCCCAACCTGCAACGGTTCTGTACAGAACCTGAACCAACATGTATTAATGATCTAATCTCTACTTTCGCCAAGTTCGTCTTTGTAGTTCGCTATTTAACGACCAGATTACATTACACATTTTATTTGTTTATTTATTTGTTAATGTTGTTTTTGTTGTTTGTAAAATGAAAAACATGACCTTACCTGCGTTTGTCAACGAAGTCCACGCACCTGCTCTCCATCAAACCTCCGTCACTCTTGATTGTCCTCCTGGTTTCCTTCCTTGTGCCTCCGCCTCCGTGGCCGCTGTCACCGCTGTGGTTACTTTAGTAACGTTAGTATTATCGTCCAGGGAATCACTCCGTTTTGAAAGAAGGCAGTAAAAAAAAACAACTAACAAACAAACGGCCGCTACAATGAACTTCAGTGAACTTGACTTCCTGTTAACGCCAATTGGCGGCGAGTTTCTTCATTCGAGAACAGCAGCAACTAAGCGCTGTTGTGCTCACGCCTGCCCTCTTCGGTGCGGCGTGGTAATGTTTGCAATATGTCTTCTCACTGCATTTTAAAGCGAATTTTTCGTTTGAGATACTCGTCAGACTGTGGAAGAGCAGGATGTTCAACAAACTTAGAAAATAAGACATTTACGGACCTGAGTACAGTGTGTGAGGGAGAGAACATTCTGGAGCTCGTGTCTGCCTCACCTGCTGCTCTGTCTTCATTCAAACTCGGCGATAGTCGCTATAAAATATCGGAAATAATGTTATTTTAGCAGTTACCAAATGTGTTTAGCCCCTCCCCCAAAGGTTTTTAACGAACACACGCGAACACACACACAGTGCGTGAACGTGCACAAGCGCGGCACATGTAATTCCAATGAGATATTCATGGCGCAATAAAAGAAATGGTAAACGATTGGAAGAAAAGCAACATCGAACTGTAAGAAACAAAGAACTATGTTTTGGTTTCTTGTTTTTTAAATCAATCCTGGAGGAAGAGATCCTTCATTTTCACAATAAAGGTTTAGATCAGTGCTTTCATGGAGCATCTTAAGACTCATCCATCTAACTCACTTTACCAGATGTTGTATATTTCTTTATTTGTTTTGTATATTTCCACCCAACTGTATAGCTCCATGTACATTTCTTAGACTCACCAGTGCCATCTACTGTTCCACTGCTCTGGTTATTTACTGTATTACTGCTCTATCCCGTGTTTGCCCACTCCTCTGTAGGCCAAAACAAATTCCGTGTGGGTGAAAACCGAGCTGGTTATAAAATGGGTTCTGGTTCTCAATAAGACTAGTTCAACAACTGACAGCAGACTGACTGACTGACAGGACTGTCCGCTCTGACCGTGCTGTGATCATGCTGTTACGTTGCGTCACACCAAAGTCTTCCAGGTCCATTTCCTTCACAATCTTTTCATCTCACTGACAGCTTCTTCATTTCTTTTATACAAATGGCTCCCTCTGATGGTGGGCATGCATCAGGAGCCGGGGAATGCCCCCCCCCCCTCCACCCCCCATCACCACTGTTGTGTGGCTGTCATTTATTAGCCAGTTTGTTTGCACTCTTATCCATGGCCTTGCTGTTCCAGCCCATCCATCAAACCCTGGGAGTCACACACACACCAACGTGCATGTCTGTTCACCAGCTGTCAGCACCTCACTGTGCTGGACACTGACACACACACACACACACACATAGTTACACTCACTCATCTCTACTCCCACAGATGCTGCCCTTAACAACACACAGTCAACAAGCACGGATCAGCAGACAAATCCTGCCTGGCTTCATCTCCCTGTCGGACCACTCCATCATCGTCAACTCTTCTTCTTCTTCTCTTCAGACACACGGACCCTGGTCCAGTCCAAGACCAGGGTCCTGTAGAAACTGTTCCAGTGCTGAGCTGATCAGGGATTATCAATACTGTCAGTTCTGTTTACTGGAAGACTTCCTGCCCATACCCCACCCC